AAATGCTTCGTAGTTACAAAGGAGCAAAATACTTCGCAGCTCTGCAAAGCAAATGCTTTGTAGGAATTTAACAGTGCGATACGAGGCAACTCCGTGTAGCTCTATGGGAGTTGGCCACACGCTGTGCGCTCGCCGCTTCCCTATTTGTCCTCGTCCTCGTCCCTGCCGTCCTCACGCTCTCTCCCTCGCTCTCCTGTCGCTCCCCCAGGCGGGAACCGCACTGCGCACACTATGGCAAACTCTCTCCCCCCCACCTGCTGGGCGACGGCCTGCTGGGATGCTAAAAGGTGCAAATGCAAAAAAGAAGGACCTCGACAAACACCACTAAGGCCGTCGAGTAGTGGAGTGGGTCGGGCTGAGCCCCGAGCTGGCGGGCAGCAGCGGGCTGGGGGGAGGGGAGGGTGCCCCCTGGGGCGACTGGCGCCGGAGCTAGCGCCGTCACAATGGACAGGGTGGTGGTGGGGGCCCACGGCCCGACCCCTTAGTTTAGGACGGGAATGACCCGACCCTTGTCCCGTCTCTAACGGCCGCTCTTCTCTCTTGTTGCAGCGCGCGCTGCGCCGTCATGCAGGTCCCGGCGTGATGGCTGCCGCCGCGGCGCGCTGGGGCGTGGCGTGGCGTGGCCCGGGGCCCTGCTCCGCGCCGCGGGGCCCCCTGGAGGCCCTGGATGTGAGGGCGAGGGGCCGCCGGCGGGGCGCCCCCTGAGGGCGGGGCGTGGCGTGGCGGGGCGTGGCGCGGCGCGGCGGGGCTCCCCACGGGGGGCCCGAGCATGCTGCGCGTCTCGCGGCGCGTCCTGACGGGCCTCATCCTCCTCGTCGCGGTGGTGGCGGCCGCGGCCGCGGCCGACTGCCCGCAGTACTGCGAGTGCAAGTGGAAGGGCGGCAAGGAGTCCGCCATCTGCAGGGGCGCCAACTTCAAGACGCTGCCCAAGGGCTTGGACGCCGGCACCCAGCTGCTGGACCTGACGGGCAACGCCATCGCCGTCCTGGCCAAGGACGTCTTCTCGTCGGCGGGCCTGGTGAACCTCCAGAAGGTGTACCTGGCGCGGTGCCACCTCGCGTCCATCGACAGGCTCGCCTTCAGGCTCCTCATCAACCTGGTGGAGCTGGACCTCAGCTACAACGAGCTGCAGGCCGTACCGTCGGCCGCCTTTGAGAGCATTTCGGAGCTGAGAGAGCTGCGGCTCAGCGGCAACCCTATCTTGCGCCTGGAGGGCAAGGCCTTCTTCAAGGTGGGGTCCGAGTTCGACCAAAGCGTCTTTTTGCTTCTTTTTTTGCGCTCAGAATGTTCGCTGCAATCCCAGGGGCATTTCTTTGTGTGACCCAGGTGCCGGAGCTAGTGCGACTGGAGATGTCGGACTGCAGGATCTCCTCGATCGAGATCCGCGCCTTTGCCGGGCTGGAGAAGAAGCTGGAGTGGCTCAAGCTGGATCACAACCGGCTGAGCAGTGTGCGCCCGGACGCCTTCTCCGCCATGGAGAGCCTGCACGGGCTGGAGCTGGACGGCAACCCCTGGAACTGCACCTGCTCGCTCAGGCCCTTCAGGAGCTGGTGAGTGATGATTTCTTGCGATCAGAAGTTTTTCGTTCGTTTCATCATGTACAATGTGCTGAACCTGTTCTCCTCCTCCAGGATGGTGCGCAAGAACGTCCCGTCGAGCGTGCCGCCCGTGTGCGCGTCGCCGGGGAGGCTGCGGGGACGCGCCTGGGACCGGCTCGACCTGGACGACTTCGCGTGCGGGCCGCGCGTCGAGGCGCTGCGGGGCGCGGCGCAGGCCGTGGAGGGCGACAACGTGACGCTGTCGTGCCGCGTGCAGGGCGCGCCCAGCCCCAGCGTGCGCTGGCTCTTCCGCAACCGGGTGGTGGCCAACGTGTCGGCGCCCTTCGCCTCCTCGATGGCGTTCGGCGCGCGCAAGCTGCTGTACGTGCGGACGGTGGGCAACAGCAGCAACCTGACGATCGTGGCCACGGACGCGCAGGACGCGGGCGTGTACGTGTGCGTGGCCGACAACCGCGCCGGCAAGGTGGACGCGAGCGTGACGCTGTCGGTGAGCAGGAGGACGGGGCCGGCCGACGGCCCGCCGCTCTCGGGCAAGGTGGTGGCGGCCAGCGTCCTGGTGGCGCTGCTGTTTGTCATGACCACGTGCCTGGTGGCGCTCTGCCTGTGGAGCCTGCGCAAGCGCCACTCGCTCTGGGTGGAGCAGGCGCGGAGCGGCGCGCGCCTCTCCAGGCTGCGGCACGACGACAACAACCACTACGAGAAGATCGAGATGATGAACCACAAGCCGCAGGCCGAGCCGCAGCAGCAGAGGGTGGCCTCCACGGCCATCGGGGCCACCGCCAACCACAGGCCGGCCCGGACGCCCGACGAGGTGAGTGCGAACAAACGGGTGTACCAGGTGGTGGTTGATCAATACCTGGTGCATGCAGGCGTTTGCCTACTGTCACGGCGCCCTGCGGATAGGCTACCTGCCCGCACGCTCGGCCATAGAGTATAACTACAAAAAAGCGCGGGGTGAATCAGCCATCTGGTACAAACGGTGTCGACGGGACGCGTTTAAGTATAGCGTGAAGGTGGTGTTGGTCATCACAAAATTTTATGCAAAATATTCCTCACGCCAGTCTTATGCCTTTAACTTCAGCATGCTGCGAATGTGTGCGCGGCGAGGAAGAGGGTGTGGGAGGAGGGGGGTTGAGCACAGCTCGCTCCCCCCCGTCCTGCTTAACGCAGCAAGCTGTCGCGGCGGCGGCGGCCTCGCCTAGCAATTTCACGCATCGCGATCAAAGTCCGCCACGGGAGGGCGCCTTGCTATTCACAGTCTCACAGGATCTGATTCTCGCCTTCTACCGGCGCGACACTCTCTCCTGCAGGAGCACACCCTCAGACGAACCGCTCTCTTACCTCTCTTTCTCTCTCCCCCTCTCCTACACGTTCGAGGACCAGAGCTCACAGGTGGCGCGGTAGTTTATACTCGATTTTCCTTCTGTTCAGCAGGTGATACCCGTTCACCGGCGCGGCGGTCGCAAGGGCAGGTACCGCGGCGTGCCCACCTGCGAGGACGACGAGGTCGGGTACGACGCCGAGGTGGAGATGACGCCGTCCGTGAGCCACGCGGGCGGGGCGTGGACCTCGGACGACACCATCAGCAGGCACTCGGACACCAGGTGAGGGTCGGCGGGTGAACAGGCGCAACAACTCATGGCGCGCCGCCCACGCCCCACCCCCCAAGCCCACCCCACCGGAAACTCAACCAGAACAGCCCGATAACAACTAAAAGGTCGGGAGTCTCTGCACCGAACGCGACGCGGATCCGCGATAATTAATTACATCGAAAATCTGAAGGAGTAGTTTCCGAGGGAGCGGCATTAATTCTACTACCCCGCTGCTCTCCTCTTCCTCCTTGTCTTCCTCTTCCCTCTCTCCTCTTGCTCTCTCCTCCCCACTCCCTCCCCCTCTCTCTCCTTCTCTACTCAGCCTGGCTCGGGCCTGGCCGCGCGGCGTGCGCGGCGTGTTTCGAAAGGAGGTCTGATTATTCCTATAAATCACATCTCCTCCACTATCTGCGACCACGGGGGGAGAGAGCCGGGGGAGAAAAGGAGAGGGGAGGGGCAGGACGGCGAGGAAGGAGAAGGACGAGAAGGAGCGGCAGAGGAGAAGGAGGAGAGGTCGACCACGTCCGCGGTGCGGCAGTGCGGTCTGGCAGAGGGGCTTCCTCCAGATAGAACGCACTCTATTCATCACGCCCGGCTTCGCGGCCCGCCTCGCCCCGCCGGGGCCGGGCCACGCCGCACCGCGCACGAGCTGCGAACAGCTTTGGTCCCTCCGCGACTCGGGTCCCCGCACCGGGCCGCGGGGGCGTAATCGGTGCTCCACCTCCTCCCCTCCGCGACCTCCACCCCGTCGTCCCCCGCCGCCGCCTCGCATCACATGGTCGCGCCCCCACCACCACCACCTCGCCCGCCCACCCCTGCTTTACCCGTCCAGAAAGTGGACGTTACAAATGCCTTGTTGTTGCAGGACGGGCGCGGCCCCCTCCCACGAGCCCCGCGTCCCCGGGGCGCTGTCGGCCGACGGCGAGCAGCCCAAGCAGTCTGCCTCGCTGGCGGCGGCGGCCCCGGCGGCCCCGGCGGCCCCGCTGCGCAACGGCATCGCCGCAGGCTCGTCCGCGCTGTCGCACCACGTGCTGCGGAAGCAGGTGCGTACCCGGCTGACCGTGTCGTCGAGCAGGTGCACGACCCCGTTGCGCTCCGGGCTCATGTCGCCCCCTCCCGGTGGTGCGCAGGTGCTCGGCGACAGCGGCGGCAGCCTCTACACGTCCCTCCTGGCGGACGACGACCTCCTCGGCGGCGACGACCGCTCCTTCCCCGACCTGCTGCAGCCCCAGACTGACTCGCTGCCGCCCAGCCTCGGGGGCAGCGTGGGCGGCGACCTCAGCGGGGGCGGAGCGGCGGGAGGCGGCGGCGGGGGTGGTACGCGCCTGTGGGGGACACTGCCCCGGCGGCCCCACCACCGCGGAGACCGCCAAAACCGTCGGGGATCCGAGTCACCGTTGCTCACCGACTCAAGGTCAGTCACAGTGGCGCACATGCATATTGACTGCTTTTTCAAAGCACACAAAGCAGAATGGCAGAAGAAAACTTTTCAAACTAGAATTTTCCAGCTAGATTTTCTTTTAAAAAATTGATTTTCCAAAACCAAAAAATAATTTGTCACAGTATTTGTAACCGTTTTCTAACCTTTAAAGCAATTTTTAAAAATATTTGTCTGAAACTTTTTTTCAGGTACGGGTCGTCGGGCGGCAGCACCAGCTCAGGGTTCGGGGCGGGCCTGGGGGCCGCGGCGGCGTACCCGCTGCACCACCAGAGGTCCTCGTCGTCGCTCAACCTGGCAGGCACCTCGCCGTTGGCGCCCATGCCGCTGCAGCACGCGGCGCCGCGGGGGCCGGCGGCCGCGACCCGGAGGAACCCCAGCCTGCCCGGCTCGCCCAGCCGGGACCGCTTCGGCCTCGTCGAGACGCCCATTCTGGCGGCGCTCAACAACACCCCGAACAAGAGGTACGACGACGCCTACTTGAAACCCATTTTACTGATTTGCACACGAAACAAAAAAAAATAATTCAGAAATAATATATCTCTGATGGTACTCACGCAGGTACTCGCAAGGCCACGCCGTCTCACCCAGCTCCTACGACTACCACACGGCGCAGCTCGAGCGATTCCTCGAGGAGTACCGCACCCTGCACTCGGAGCTGTCCAAGATGAAGGAAACGTGCGACTCGCTCGCCGCCAACCCGAAGTCCATCCTGAAGAAGAAGCAGCAGGCGGCCGCGGCGGCGGGCGCGGGCGCGCAGCAGGCCACGCTCAGCCCCGAGCACCCGTACTGGGTGCCGCGGGCGGAGCTCACCACCCTGGCGCGGCGCTACAGCGGCGGGGACTTCTTCCCCAGCTGAGCGGGGGCCCCGTTTGGGGTGGGCGCGGTGTGTGATGTGGCTCAAACGGAACCTGATTGAAGGAGAGTAGATTGCGGTTTAGAATTGTAATAAACAAGTTTAGGGTGAGCGGTGGGCTGGCCACCAGAGTAGCTGGCCAGTGTGAGCGTTAGAGGTAAAGGTGGAACGAGCTGTTTTTATTTTTGTTAAGCTGCTACTATTTTGTTTTCGCATCTCAAAATGTGCGAAAAACAGACAAAACTCTGTGTATACAATATTGCGTCAGAGGACCCTCCCTTTTAGAAAAATATGGCAAATCCTCGGTTGAAAAAGAGCGGGAAAATGCGGGAAAATGGGGCGCAGGAAAGGGAATATATTTATGGACAAATGTTGTTTTTTTCATGGGGTCGCGCTCCGGGCCAGCCTCGGCCTGTCCAGCCGCCACGCGGCGCGGCGCCACCCTGCGACACCGTGTGCCAATCCAGTTAATTACTTCCTCCACCGCGCCATGATGGCTGCTCTATTGATGGAGTGTCCAGTCGCACAGCCCGGTACGGACGGCCGGGGTCCAGCAGGCGATCAGGTGTGAGCGACAGCCTGTAAAATGGATGATGTTGGTTCGAGAGCGCGCGGGGCGGCGAAGAATCCGCCGTGGTAGTGTGTGTGTGTGAGAGAGAGAGAGAGAGAGAGAGAGAGAGAGAGAGAGTGAGTGAGTTTTCAAGGGGTGCCTTAGACGTGAATCTGTCGATCCCTGTATAACGGCCAGAGCAATTGCAGTGTTTCGGTTTGCTGAGTTTACGGCTAAAAGTTCGGCTAGAAGTTTGTAGTTTGCCTACCTCCCCCCCCCTCCTCGAAGATGGAAATTGTTAGCCCCTATTTTCAATTGTGCCGCCTTCAAGTTTCAAATTGATTACCGCGACACTTCGTTCAATGACTGATTATGTTACAGAGACAGCTCGTTTATCTTTCTTTTTGTTCCTATATAGCAAAGTTGTTACCATTATATTTATATTTAAGTAAAAGTTGTGTACATATCATGTAAATAAAACATGTGCATATTTTATGTGCAGGTATACATTTGTTATTTGTCCTATTTAAGTTTTGTTTTACTAAAATAAAGACGAGAGAGGCTGTTTCTTATTATTGCGCAGTTTTTATTCAACATGTTCTGTTTCTAAAAACGATTCGCATTTGACCAAACCTTACCTAAACTTACATCACGTAACGAAGGTAACACCCTGTCCCCCCTATTAAAACTAAAATAAAATTAGAAGTACGTTCAAGTCACCGCGCCGGATTTCTCACACTGCTCACACCTACAATACTGCTCCAGCGACAACAGGATCGTCGGTCATGGAACGCGCATTAAAAATAGACAGCGCATAACCCGTCGGTGTTACAAGTTTATTAGTGTCCTATCATTACGTTCGGAGGGCACTGGTTCGGGTCCCCTCCGCGACTAGGTACGCGGAAAACCAGGTTGTAACCCACCCACCCCTTTTTTTCTCACCTTATAGTCCCTCTCTTTTCCCCCCTCTGTCCCCTTACCGGTTCTCCCGCACAGCTCTTTACTTTCTACGCCGTATAATGCCACCATTCTGAAATGAATGACGATTCTGCACAGAGAGAGGTCTCTGGTCCCCTCGGTGAGAGGTAAAGCCACTATTATACCGACTGCGCCGCGCCCGGCGGGAGGAGTGGCGTTCGCCATGTCGACGCCAAGGCCGCGAGAGAGGACCGCGGGAAGCACCCGTTATGAGCGCACCGTCAGATAGGAGGAGGAGGGCGGTGGCGGTGGTACCGGTCCTGCAACCGACTGCAACAGTTTGCTCGTCCGCAATGCAAGACGCGGCTGCCTGGAAGCGTCTCCTATCATTGCCTCACCAAACGCTTAATCCCGCTTCTCTTCCAAATCTCTTTCTTTCCAGTCTGCCTTTTCTCCCCTCCCGAGCACCTCCGTCCTTTAACTCCACCCCAGGTGTGTGCCCCCCCCCCCCCAAATACCGCGGCCTGCAGTAAGAGAGGCCCAGCAGCGAGGCGCTCTCCAGCTCCAGCGCGGGGCCTTCTCCAGCAGGCCGGCTCCAGACCGCCAAGGGCGACAAGTAAGTGGCCGTGGTATACGGCGCGGGCGCAGGGCGGGGCGGGGCGGGGCGCGGCACCCTGCCCATGCGTATGCCTGCCGCTGACGTTCATTTTTCCCTGTGCCAAGCCGAGAATGAACGAGTGAGAGGAGGAGAGCAAGCCGCGCGCGGTGGCGGTGCGGTGGTACGGCAGCGGCTTGGCAAAACGCGGAGAGTTAGGAGCAGAAAAAAATAGGGGGAGAGGGTTTGGGAGGGAGTCGTTGCAGAGCGACCGCCAACACACATACATACAGACACTCGCACACGCGCACATTCGCTGCAGTGATTTCCATATGATCTCCATCCTCCTCATCTCCATCCCTCTACCCCCCTCTCTCTTATTTTACGTATAGCAAAAAGTCTGCTATGTGCGATATCCCTGCGATATGGCCCTATGCCACTCACTAGTGGAATTCACTCAAAGAATGTTTATCTATTTTTTTCTGATTTTAGTATTTGGCTTTTGCCGATGCACTACCTTAAATACCAATAGCGTGACAATTTTCTGGAACCTGCTTCGAACTGCCGTGAGGGGGTGTTGTCGCAACTCGGTTCGGACACAGTCGACCCCTGGGTTAACTTTTGTTGATGTTCAGGATGCGAAGTGTGAGTGCCACGCGCTTCCTCCTGTCAACTTTGTAATCCAACATTGCAAACAGGAGAGAGGGAAAAGGGGAGGGGATCACTTTCGGAAGGCTATACTTGTCGCGGCCCGGTGCCTTCGTGCTGGTAAATTTTGTCCCAGCCCAGGTTCTAGTCCAAGGTCAATATTTATTTTTTTTCTGAAAAAGAGTGACATCAGTTTTGAGAAAAATTACGCCGTTGAACACGCGCACAAAAACAATGAAAATTAAACAAAACACACAAAAAAACTCCAATTCAACCGCGCGCTTATACTTACTCGGAAAAGAGAGCGGTCGCCAGGAGGGCGCCCTTCTCCCTCGGTATATTGCGGGGGTGCAGCAGCGGCGACGCGGCCGCGCGGCGCTGCGCGAAGATTCCAGCAAGCTCCGCCGACAGACCCACAGCGCGGTTGCGGCCGCGCGCGCCGCGCCCCTTGCCCGGGGCGCAGCCGCCGCCGCCCGTATGTCACTCGCGGCTCTGGAATGTCGGGCCGCACTGCAGTCGCAGCGCGCTGGGCGAGCTTCACCTCCTTCAGCACCACCACCGCACGGGGGAACGGTTGCGTTCTCGAGGTGATACGATGATTTACATTATTATATAATTACCGCGTAATTTGTCATCCTCGCTGACTCTCCATTTTGTCATCCGATTTCGTATTCTCGTAACGATGACTGGTATGTTACAATATTTGTATATCGTCCTCTCTCTCTCTCTCTCTCTCTCTCACACACACACACACACACACACACACACAAACATACTCACACATTATCCCACCGACTACATCATGGCGCCGTCCTGATAGCGCGCGTTCCCGATATAACGCTGGTGAGCCCGGGAGCGGCGTGGCGGGGCGTGGCGGGGCGTG